CCCGGTCCACTCACGGACGCTGTCCCAGTCCAGCGGCTTGCACAAATCCAACTCGACACGGAGCCTCGCGTCGCTGGCGGACATAGACGCGCTGATCTTCGCCCAGGACGAGGAGGAACGGACGCTCCAGCGTCGCAAGTCGCTGGAGAAGCCGCCGCGCCACGCCAGTGTCCCCATGTACGCACAAATCCTGCTGCAGCTATGGCAGCGCGAGCTGCAACGCCTCGACGTGGACCTGACCAGTGACTTTTTCCACGACTTGAAAGGCACCGAAGAGCAGGGTGTGCGGCTCGTGGGCCGCATGCAAGCGCTGGGGTTTAACCTCACGGTGGCGCAGTTTCTCGCCTTGCCGCGGTGCTCCATTTACTCGGTGCTGCTCATAGCGCTCTGATGGGGGACTTGGTCGTAGATGAAAGTAAAGCATCCCGAGGTGGAGAGCGTCCCCTCGTGTTCATTCCATAGCACACCATAGTAATTTATAACACACAAATGCAACTGCCACTAAAGTGTATGAAGCGTCAAGCTGGTTCCTTTGTCGATGGTAGCGTAGTAGAAGTATTAGTCCACCTCTCGTAAACGAGAATATAGAAGCAACCAGCATAACCGCTACTTCAAATGGGTAAACTTCCGTCGGGTCGGTGTTGCTTGATAAATGCGCTTACGCTGTAAGTGTTCACCGTCCATCTGAACGGAATTGACGCTGCACTTTGCTCTTGTGCAGCCGTCCGCGTCTTGTGTTGTCCCGTGACGACTGGCGACGGAAATCGCTCTCGCCGCCCATTGTGCCTGGGTCCACGTACTGCGGTCGCGGGTAGCAAATCTTGTAGTGCAGCGCCACATCCACTTGGTTGTGTCCTTCTCGCACCGCTTCTTCGATTGTGGCAGCGTCCGACAACAACCGATTGTCCTCAAAGCGTCGTCTGCATGCCAAGCAGGACAAGTGCAACCCAGAACCAGTTCATTAGCTCTCTATCCACCTTTTCCACTGCAATGAAAGCGCAGCCACCCCCACTGATACGAACACTACTAGCAAAAGACGCTCGAGCAAAAACACATCCGACAGACGCCAACACGTACAGTTTCTCCTACCTGGCCTCATCTCGAATCCACTTTTGTTCCACGCAGCCGCCTTCCCCTAGAATCCACCGGAACGAGTTGCGGGAGAGATATCGGAAGCAAAGGGATGGAGCACGAAAGACGCGAGAGAACAATAAGCTCAGCCACGGTCCTCATTGCTGCTTTCTCCTCATTATTATTCAAGCGAAAGAGCTATGAAATGCGTTGGACGTACATGTCCTTGCCACGCGCAGAATGCGGCGATAGAGCGAGAGCGCCATGACTGAGGAAAGACTCAAAGACTGGCTGTGTTACTGGAGACACTCGGATTGTGTGCTATTCCCATCCGCCAATTAGGGAGCTCGTCACTATAATCGGCAGCAGTGATTACAATTGCAAACCCAACTGCGCCCCATCCTCTCTAATTGACCAAAAGTCAGTGTTGCTCTCAAATGCTTGCTGTGGTTTACTCGCCCAGTTTCACACAGGTGTGGGCGCACAGGTGTGGGCGCCCCCCTTGCGTCGGGCAGGAGTGATTACTAGTGTGTAGCATAAGCCTTTGTGGTGACTCTGCACGCAGAAGAGCACAGTATACCTCAGCTTCCGTTACATTCACGAAGGGTGGGAAGTGACATCGAAGCGAAGTGCGGGTAGAACGTAAATGCTGGACCAAAACCATCATCGGATGAACTCCTCTTCCATCATTCGCCACCTGCCTGCGCCCTCAGTTCGTATGTTCACACGTGTGTTAGCGATCGGGCAAAAACTCTGTTGCTCAGCTCTTCTCTGTGCTACGTCCGACCCGGCTGGCAGGCAATGTACCTGCAAATCGTGCAAGGCCGTTTCGGATCCTGGAAGTACCAAGGACATACAGCACGTGGACACGAAAGGCGTAACACGAGAGCAGTGTGAGCGTGTCTGTGCCTCATCCCACGCTCTACCGAAGCCAGTGCACAATTCGTCTCTACGTCTTTCAGCAGAAAAATGGCCAGTTGTCCAAAGCGTGCAACCATCACGACGATGCCAATCGAACGTAGCCTCGTAGGCGCTACGACATTGCAGTACAAGCGCCACTACAACTACGACGAGGCTTATAGCACACAAGGTGCTTCAACATCCCATGACAATCTCATGGCTATACGTAGGGTAGCCAGCACGCATGGGAAACTGGAAACGGAAAATGTAGACATCGCCAGTAGACTGTGTCTTCTTTTCACCTTCTCCGTACTCTATTTGCAACCCAGCGCTTGCCATCGTAACCAGCAGATTCAGCACGAGAGCAACTGGCCAGCTGACTCCTCACGGCAGTACGACGAAACTGTCCATCTAGTAGTAGTAGAGAGCTGAGGCGGTGTCGCTGGTCTTGCTGGACGCAAGGAAAGGAACCAATACAGATTGTCCACTGCCGCTACACACGATCAGCAAGCAGTGTGATAACACAGTAGGAACGACTGCGCGTGTTTAGCAAAGCTGGGCGTAAAGAGATGATTTGCTATAACATGTAGTGGTAGCTCTAGCAATGCGTCTGTAAGTTTTCAAGAGGGGACGAGCATCACTCAAGACACGTTCTATCCACATGTCACGAGGTAGTTTGTCAAAGATCAACGTCAACTACCTCGATGTCTATTCGAAGTGACTGCCGACGCGCCATAAGAGGAGCTATATGTATGTGATCAACTCCCCGCGCTCGGACATGGAGTCGCCATGAGAATGACTTCAAAGTAATGGTGTTGTTGCCCATGCTATCAGCGTAACGTATTCAAAGAAGCGTGGGGACCCATGGACTATTTACAATAATCAACCGGTCTTCGTTTGTTGCTACGCTGGCACAGCTACAGCAGCCGGCATGACACTTTCGTGTTTGCTGCACAGACCACATTGTATCGATTACAATGATACAGAGACGCCTAAAGAGTGTACGCTTCGACCGTACCGATGTTGGCAGCTATTCTAGGCTACGCGTCAGCGCAATGAGTGCTCTCAAACTGATGTCCCATATACATCAAGCCGCAACACACAGCTCTGCACAAGACTTGTACCGAAAATGGCACGAAGGACCTCAGCAATTTTCGGGTCGAGGCAGACGTACTGCCAAGTCGGCGCAAGCTTGTGCAACGGAGCACACCGTAAACGACGATTCCTCTGGCAAAATGGAGTGCAAAAATGTCAGCCAAGAAAGAGGTACTAACGATGTAATGAACACCTTCGGTACTTTTATTACCTTCGAAACAGTTCGTTGCATGGACTCGCGTTATTTCGTGTTCATAGAGCTGCTTCTTCGTTGCATGGACTCGCGAAATTTCGTGTTCATAGAGCTGCTTGCTCGTAGCAAGGCTACGTAACCCGCTCTTAAGATTGAGTGCGACTGGCTTTGGATATCGGGAAGGCAGCTAGATTTGACGATGGCCAAAATGTAGGAGTGGTACAACGATCTCCGGTAAACATACAAAGGGATGCATTAGAATGACTTGCAGCAGCCGAAACTATGTCAATACTCCGCAGTTCGAGCGCATGCGCTCTACGTTACGTAATCTTCATCCCAACCTGTAAGCACTTCTGCGTGACACTACTTACAACCATCAAAGCATTGATCACTATAGATACGATCTACACATTGACCATGGTTGGCTATAAAGTGTGACGTGCTGCCGATGCAGCAGAAATGTGGTAGCGTAGCGACACTTGGTCACGTGGTGAAGGTGGCTTGTAGTGTCACTTGATCTCACCTCGTGTACGATCATGATAACTCGTTAAACAATGCAGCTCGATCTGTGCCGTGTACAATCAGAGAACGTTACGGCACGCCATCGGCCATGACAAAAACAACGCAGGTGCTTTCCTGTAGACTTTCACAAAGTATGTAGGTCAAGTACCGAGCTTGCGACGGCGATCTCGAGGTCCAGAAGCCGACCACATCGACGATACCACGCATAATGCCAGTGTCTCGAATTGTGCCTGTTATCCAAAGTGTCATGGCAGCAAACATCGAATGGCACAACATTGCTGTTTCGCTCCAGCTTGCAAGGGTCGTTGAACTGTGGCGGACGTAAGGACCATTGATGCTAACGCATGAGATGGCCGACGATGTGGATCGGTGCTACCGACTATCTTCGAACTGAACAAATTTTGCCGCATACGGCCTAAAAAGGTTTGCAAAGGAGGTCGGCGTGAATCAATGTCGTAAACTCGTCCTTCTTTTTACTCCAAGCAACGAAGGGGAGCTATCACCGATAGTCAGTATACGTTTTAGTGGGGTTGCTACACACCGTCAGCCAAGCGTCGCTGCATCGGCTAAGAGCAAGTACATGTCAGCGAAGGCTTGAAACAAATGACAAGGGTAGCAGCAAATGCAGTTGTTTTTCGGCTTTCAGCAGGATGATCCGTTTAACGGCCCATTCCCAAAGCGTAACAATAACATAGGATGACATCCACATAAATTAGCCACCGCATACGATTCAGGTCGATGTTTTTCTCTCATGGCACTTGACTTAACACCGTGCTAACACCGCAAATGACATCGTTTGACACAGGTCTCGATAGATCGATGTCGCTTGTACCCACCCATTGATCATCAATTATCTGCATCAAGTAACAACTACTCCTGTGTCCTGTTAGCGAACATCTTCATACCAATGCGTCGGATCCGTTCGAAAAACGCCACCAGCCATTGTTTGTGAACGTTTACCACGAACCGCTAAATTTTTCTTTTCGGACACAGCTTCGTCACCAGAGGAGTGAACCTTTGTGTTATACGTGCGGGCATACTCTCGACATTCGTTGATTTTTTTATTTTCATTGGGCGTCTTCCCCTCCTCTCCCGTGCCAACTTTAGGTCTATCCCTTGGTTCGATGATGATCAATCGGTCGACTTTCCGAGGGCCATGTTTGACAGCTGCCACACATCAAGCACCGCCTCCTGGGTTTCCGGTTTTTTTCTCCGGTTCTTACAAGCGCTGCAAGTAGGCTGTCACCACAATCCTTCGTACCATCGGTGGATCAATCAATCGTAAAGACGCAACCACGTTTAGAATCGATGTGTATCGAAATGAATCTTTCAGAACTGCAAGCATCTTGTCATCTCCGTAGACGCGACCGTCGGCAGCGTACAAGTCAATGTACGAAAGCCACTGAATCAGCTTGCTTTGAAGGAACTTTTGCTTCTCCACTCCACCGAAGCGTGATGGCATGTTGCCCTTCGCTCCCTCGACCAGCATATTGTAGACAACATTAAAACCTTTCCCCGACTTGTGCCACAAATCAATTATTGTTTCAACAGTATCCGGGCAAACTAAGACAAGCGTTCATTGTGATTTTTCAGCTTACGTAGAAACCCAATTTTCTTCCTCTACATGAAGCCAATGGAGAAGTAACGCCACCTCGTCCTTTGCTCTCTCATCAACCAGCAGAGAGACTGTATAGCGCTTGTCGTGGCTCTCCTTTACAGTATAAGCTTATCAATAATGAAGTCACTGCATGAGCTTGCCACAGCGAACCTGCCACCTCGCCGCATTACTCTCGATGTCGCCAGTGAACTCTTTCTCGGATGCTATGGGCGTCTTATCGTAGACTGTCTCAGATCGCGCCTTAGCCGTCAGCCACTTATCGAACTTCGGCTACAATGCGTCCATACCTGCTGCACTTTGCATCATTTACCATCTGTAAGCGCGAACACTCATGGCGGGATCATTTTCAAGCAAAAGGAGAAGCGCCACTAACTTTCCTTCGCCTCCGAGAATCTGCATCAGCTGGGAGACTGCAACCTTGACGTCATAAGTATGAACTTATCATTGTAGGCCTCAGCACTATCGATCAATTGCTCAAGCTTCGCAAGGAACGTGGGCTCCCTCTGCCTCGCATGAACATTGAGCCCTTCACCAACATGTGCTGGGCGAAGATGGTTCAAAGCCGTGTCTGATTGTTTTTGTCTGGCGAGCATTTTGGATATGAATTCCACACCTCTGTCCTCGCCGTCGAGGTGGGTGGTGTCGATTTCGTTCAAAGTAGTGACGTCTGACTCCGCGACACTTGGCACAACAGACGCGCTCGTTTTCACAAGAGGAGGTACAGCGATTGAGGGAAAGCAATCTACAAGAGCATAGTGGTGTGCGATAGTTACTGACCACTTATCGAAATGAGATGCACGCAAGATGCAACCACTTGCCTACAACGTGTAAACCGCCCAAGTAGCGGCCATCCCTTAACTATTAGGGTTCAATCCCCGTACGGGCTCCGAGTAAGGGAGTGGACACCGCACCATCGTCTGAATAGCACCAGGATTGGAGACAAAACTGTTGAGGCATGTAAAAATTGAACAATGACGAGCATATCACTGTGTGTGTGCTCCCGTCAGTACACTGGTAAACGCTAGATCCGCCCGGTGAACGCGTCAGCTCTAACTCTGTTCATGCGTGTGAGTAAGTGTGTGGTGGAGCTACACAGCTCCTTTAGGTCAGAGGAAGACTTAGTGCTCAAAGAGCGATATTAGTTCCAAAGAACTAGACCATATGCGTTAACAAGCGTAAAGCTTAAGGTCCCTTTTTCAAAGGACCAACAATTCAGTGAATCTAAAGCACGTGGTACTAAAGAGTATCTACCACAGAGAGGTGTTGCTAACTGTTAACAGACGATCAGAGATGCCTCGCAAGGCACGTGTCTTAGACAAGATCAAAAGGGGAACTGACTTCATCGAATATCTCAATCCTGATATTACCTCATCGAAGCACTCATGTCTTAAATTGACATCTCCAAGATCTTTCCTATCTTGTGGCTGACACCCGTCAGCCACTATAAAAACCGATACGATATTCTATATCCCTTTCAGTGGGATACCATCCCGTGTGTCTAAGACACAGGGCACCGAGTACCCTATGACGTGTAACCCCTTTACAAAGTCAGTACTACAAGCGAGAGACGGTACCAGTTGAAGTGCAAGAATATCGGAGAACAAAACGCAAAGATAGTCAGCGTCGAACATGTTTGTATTTTCCAGAGTGGCTGCAGCTTGGTCGTGACAAATCGATCCGAGTCAAAAGAGGTTTAAAAATACAGTGATCACGTGCTATTTAACGACCTACGATCTCGAATTACTAGGTTGATGGACCTCGAGAACGAGTCCTGACGTGCTTAGCGCAGTTCCTTCAGTAGGCTCGATAATACAAGAGCGTTGGCTGTCCGTCCAGGAGCTAATGACGCTGCCATTTGTTCAAGATAGACCTCTCTCCTATCGCACAAAGCAGTGTCTTGCTGATGCCGATTTGGTTTCCAACGAGCTCAGCGTCAAGGCACATTTTTCCACGCAACTAAACACATCGTCACATCACCATGCAAATCACAACTAGACCGCTGAAGTTGATGTGCTCGCTGCGTGATTGTAGTGATGATTTATGTGGATGAATGGATGCGTGTGGAGTGGAAGAAGTAGACTGTGCTAGCTCATCGAACTGGGTACAGGAAAACACAAAAGTGGACGCAGTTGTAACGTGAACGTGACGGGCTCATTATGGCTTCCGTCCACAACCTGTGGGTGCTTGGAGTCACCAACGACGTATCCTTTCACGACTACTTCTCCTCAATGATACGAACTGTAGCTCACGTCGGATATGACAAGGAATACGGTGAAGGGGCGTCACTAGGCAAGTGTGAAACACGCTCAAGAGGTTTCTCAGATGTTTTACAGGTACCACCAGCGGTCGGTCATTAGAACTCCTGTTCACCCGCTCTGGTCCGTTCGCTCTGAAAGAGTGTGAGCACTTGTCCAGAAAGGTGCAAGTTCGCACGACCTTGCTTGGTACAATAGGTATCATATCGAAGTCGATTCGAACACGTACCTCATAGCAGAGGGAGATGTAGCGCCTCCTGATGTGAACATGTTACTATAGTGCAATACGCAACCGAGTTTGTGACGAACTAGATGCGGGAATGCTGCAATTGTTTAGTGCACTAGTTCATGTTGCCACGGGTTACTTTCTGCAGCGATCAACAACATCAGCCTTCTTCACTCACTTGGTATCACTGAATCAGACTTTTAGTCAAGGTCCAGCAATTGAAGGGCTCGAACATTGAGTTCTTGCAGAGCAACACGACGTGGCCACTGCGCTTCAATATAGTGAGCTGCTCGTAGTGCATGGCTTCAAATATATCAACAGCATGCAACACCGTGCCATAGCAAATCACCTGTATTCACCACTGTGACGCGCAGCGCAGCACAGCACTGCTACTAATACTCTACGGTGCAATGCTCACTTTGGCGTGAACCCTCACCCGCCTCGATTCCTACGCGCGGCAGTTCTCGATGTTAAAGATCATGATGTCCGTCGCGCCAACGTCATGCAGCTTGTCCATGACGTCAGACACGTCCTTGACCTCAACCGCCGCCGACACAGCAAAGCCTCCTCCCACCAGTCCATTCACTGTTGGGGATCGTCGTCCCGGGGTAATCTTCGACGCCGCTTCGAGCTTCTCCTTGTCCACATTGTACGTCACCATCTTGTACTTGGTCGCTGTAATGTAGCCAAGAATGCGCTGGTGCACAAGGTGCACAATCTCCTTGTGCGCCGAATGAGGGTTAGCAATCAGAACTGCCTCCGTGTTCAAGATGGTCGAAATGAGCTCAAGCCCCGCTGCTTTCATCGTCGTGCCCGTCTCGACCAAGTCCACAATTCCATCCGCCAAGCCCAGCGAGCACGCTGCTTCCACGGACCCCGAGACGTACTTGATCTTGGTCACCCCCGTCGTTCCAGTCTCAAACTGCTTGAAATACTCCCGCGTCACTTCTGGGAACGACGTGACAATGCGTTTGCCTGCTAATTGATCCGGGGACTTCACAGCGTCCTTCACAGGCGCTTGCACCCCAAGCGAACAGCGTCCAAAGCCCAGCCGCAAGAGCTCGTCCACCTCCGTCTGGCTTTCGGCAATAATGTCTTGTCCCGTAATCCCCAAGTCCAGGTTGCCTTGACCAACGTATGCCGCGATATCCGCCGCTGGGAGAAACACGAGCGTGACCGGGAGACTCGAGCACAGCGCAATGTCCACCCGATTCGGACGGTGGTAGTCCAGACCAGCGCCTTGCAGCAACTGGAGGATCTTGTCGTGCAGTCGCCCCTTCTTGGGCACCGCAAAGAGCAGCCGCGGCTCACTCGCCATCTTCGGGGTCGGGTTTTCGGTGGTGGAGGAGTTTGATTGGCATCGATAGTGACGGATGGCACTCGTGAGAGGGGATGGAAGGGACGAACCCCGAGGTTTTTCTCTGTGTGTGTTTGCGCCATCGGAGTGGTAAAAGGAGATGACGAATCAATTAAAATGAGGGTTCAATTACAATCGAAGTCAATATAATTGATAATTGAGTTTTGATGGATACATCGACTGACTGAGCTATTGAGCTGTTGACTGATTGAGCTATTGACTGACTGTATGGACGAGAGAGAGTTCTTGTGGATGCTGGAGCGCTATCCTTCAGTGCGTAAGAAGACGCACTGCCGTGTGCAGTGGAACGACATGGTGCGTGGCTGACTAGGTGGTGGATGAGGGGACGGACGGGGTTGACAACTGAGGGGATGGGGTGCTGGATTGTTGTTGGTTTGGTGCATAGTACGATGAGGCGTCAGGGAAGCAGGAGGGAGAGGTCGGGTCCGGGACGTTTCTTCTGCCAGGTCAGGACCGGGTTATTGAGGCGGCGGACTCGGTGGGAGACGCACTGGAGAAGGTCCTGGCTCCGTGTTTTTCGTCGCAAGAGACGGCCAAGATCCAGCACGAGCTGGAGAAGGTACGGTCTTGACGAGGACAGAGAGAGAGAGGGGATGGCTGACAGATGCTGAATGGATGTCATGTTGATGGTGTTGCAGTCATTGGAAGCGTTTGTGGCGCGATTGTGTCTGGAGCACGTGGACGATCTGTGCGCGCAGTTCGTTACGACCAAGTTGACGTGATTCTTTATAGGCTGAACACGATGATCTGATGCAGGGAATTGTGTTTCACTGTCGCGTCTCGAAAGTCGACTATGCATGTAGTTGCTGCGCGAGTTGGTGTCGCTGTGGAAGGAGCGAAATGTGATCAGAAGTTCTGCAATGGGCATGTACATATGCAGTTAAAAGTCACACGCACCTGAAGGAAGCTGCGAGTCTGTGCTGGATCCAGGAAGGGTGAGGTACTCCACGAGATGACGAGAGTGCGCAACTCGTCCGTGGATATATCGAACGAAATGAGATGCAGCAGGGCTTCCTACACCAAGCACAGTATCAGTCATCCTGCAGAACAGCAGCATGCTATCGTGGTCATGAACGATGAAGCGTACAATGTGCTGGTACTCTGCTTCGAACGTCGCCAGCTCCTGATTCATCATTTGGAAGTAGTCCACGGGTCTCAACGCAGTCGGTTCAACTGGCACTTGGCTGTCATCGCCACAGCTTTCCAATACTTCCGCACAACAACAAACATCAGTTGTGCACCCGCCATCATCCTCGACCAAGAAAGGATACATCGTGCATCATCTCTCCACCCACCAAGGTCTCTCGCCTGAGCTTGCAGCGCGTACATCTCCACCAAGAGCTCTTCGAAGCCACCCGACAGCTGCAGCACCTGCTGGTACAAATCCTCTGCCAGCCACGGATCCATCCCCGCATTGCCAGCCAGTCCAGCCAGCACTGATTTCTCCTTTCCCTCCTTGCCATTTTGAGCTACCGCTTGAGCGTCCCGTAAGGCGAGCAGTGCCGACTGGAACCTTTCGATCGTCACGATCCCCTCGCGTTCCCGGCTGTACCAGGTCGTACCCTTTTCCAGCATTGCAGTAAAGAGTCTCCTGATCTCCATAAAGCGGTCCACATTCCCGCATCTTGACGCTTCCTTCGTTCCAGAAGTGCTTGTCGTATCCACTAACACTTTCGTACTCTTCTTCTTCGCCATGCGAACGTCTCAACCGGCAGACTTCACGCTGTTTTCGACAAATGACAAAATATCGTTGATACCTTACACCTCCGGGAGGAGAATTCAGAATATCAGCTCGAATTCACTTAAATCAAACCACTGTATTCGCATCCACTCATCGACCGTATTCACTCACCACCACGAAAATATCCTACACCTCCGCTTTTATCCAGCGCTTTCCACTTTATTCGCCAAACATCTAGCTAATATCCGTCTTTTTTTGTCGTTGACAACCATGCATGTGCGACGTGTGACGTGGCTCTGCGTCACCCTCGCGTTTGTGTCCAGCTCCAGCGCTGTATACGGCGCCAAGGACCCGCAACCGAAGCCTTCAGAAGCGACGTCGCCTGCCAATGCACGTGACCAGGACCCGGTTATCCAAGAGGTGCGGGGACTTCGGAATGCCGGGATGAAGCTCAACGATGTCAAGGACTTTCGAGGAGCTACTGGGAAACTACGGGAAGCCATCACGCTGCTGCACTACCGGGTGTTCGGAGAAGGTCGTCACGACGTGACGGATCCGCAGGATATCTCCCAAGACGCGGCTCTGTACTCGCAGCTTTTGAACGACTACGGGTCGGTGTTGATTCGAGGGGAGGAGTACGATGAAGCCATTGAAGTGCTGGAAGATTCTGTGGCCATGGTGCAGAAGATCTATGGAGACAGTCACCCTTCGCTTGGGTTGTCCCTGCGCAGTCTCGCAGACGCTTATATGGCCAAGAAGCAGTACCAGAAGGCTATTGGCAAGTACAAGACGCTTCGTAAACATGTCAAGCGAGGACTGGGGGTGACGCATGAAGCGTACATTGAAGCGTCGTTGAGGATCGCAGAAGGGTACAAGAAGCTGGGCAAGAAGGAGAAGAACTTGAAGGTGCTTCGAGAGGCTGTGGAAGCTCAGGGTGGACAGATCAATGGACTGACGAGGGGCATTGCCGAGCTCTACATGGAACTGTCGACGGCACATGTGGCAATGAATGAGATTGATGAAGCGCAGAGAGCTGCGGAAATGGCGAGTGCGGTCTTTTTAGAGCGCGACGGCGAAGACACGCTGTCGTATGCGTTCAGTTTGAACGCACTGGCTGGTGTCAAGATGCGACAGCAGAAGGTGGACGAGGCAATCGAGTTGCTGGAGCACGCACACAAGATCGCGGTTGACCTGTACGGTGAACATGACGCCATCACGAAAGGTAGTGCTACGACGCTGATGGAGGTGAAAAAGCACAAGTTGGATTTGCAGGCGGAGAAGAACGAGCTATAGAGTAGCACGTGAGGGGCAAGGCGAGTGTGGCTCGTAAGCAGGCGAGTGAATTGTTGTTGAACAAAACTTGGCTCCCGTTGCTCTTGTCTTGTAGAGACGTTCACCAGCGACATCAGGATCAAAGCAGTGTTAACACATTGACTCGTGCTGTCGATTCATTCAACGAATGACGGGCACCAAAGCAGTTGTCAGCTTCAACCAGAGGCATACAAACATCAAGTGATTCGCACATCCTGAGACCGTGCTCGCACGAATGTATCCACCGCAAAAAAGGGTCCTCCCCACCACACAATCTCAGTATTCGAGTTCCCCACTGCACCAAAGAATGACCCGCATGACCAAAGGTGGTTATGCGATGCTCGTTTTGACCACAGCACTCCTAGCGGCTGCTGCTGCCTTGACGAAAAAAAAGACAACGGACGACGAGTTGATCTTGGGGTTCATCACTCCGGACTGTTTCGACGCTTTCGTGACTCGCTATGAGTTTGCCAATGTCGAGTGCATCAAAGCCGTGGTCAGCAAAGCGCTGAGCTATGCCATCATCACGGGGAGTTTGATCCTCAAACTACCGCAGATCCTCAAGATCCTGGCTGCCAAAGACGCTACGGGTCTCACTCCAAGCGCCTTCTACATGGAGGTGGTGCTCTATCTGTCCAGTACCATCTACAATCTCCTGCGAGGGTATCCGATATCCACCTGGGGCGAAAACCTGGTCATCCTGACGCAGAATGTCGTCTTGGTGTTGCTGCTATGGACGTTTTACAAGCCCACGATCCCCATGACCACTCGTTTCGGACTCGTGTCGGTGTTTGCTGCTATGGCAGCGGGAATGCTCTTGATCTCGGACGAATTCCAGTGGCTGCTGGCGTCGGCAGGGATCCCCGTGAGTATCATCGCTCGCATTCCACAGGTAAAGTTGATATGAGGTGGAGAATCACTAGTGTTGCTGCTGCTGCTGCTGCTATTGCAATGTAGCAGGAATCCAGGAACTGAGAGTGCGATTGTAGATTTTGTCCAACTTTAAGCAGGGACACACGGGCCAGTTGGCGATCATCACGTTGGCGCTCAACTTGGCAGGCTCGATTGCGCGCTTGTTCACTACGATGCAGGAGACAGGGGACCCCGTGCAGGTTGCAGGCTTCGGCGTGGCTATTTTGCTGAACGGAACACTGGTACTGCAGGTACTGGTGCTATGGGGGGCTACGAACAAAGTGCTTGCACAGGCTTCCACGAAGAAAGCGCAGTAGGCACACGGTAGTGTGATAAACGATGCGGGAAGTTCGAGCAGTAAGACGGCAACGAGTATAATCCGGCTATGGTGGAGGGACTAGCTCCTAGTCGTAGCTGTAGGTCGGTTCACGTGTACTAGATCGCGCTGCTGGTAGTCAGATTGCTTGCTTGTTTGTGTAGCAAACTTTGCCACGACCCATTGCTTCAACTAACACGATGTTTCGGCTCATCCTGAGCTCCAACCAGCTTCTTGTGTGCCAGAAGCGGACAGCAGGGACCAGAGCTTGTGCGCTGAGGCCAAAGCTGTCGATGCCGACCACAGCAAAACAGCGCGATAGACTGCTGCTCTGCGTAATGTGATCCACGACAACTTGACCTAGCCGATGAATGTCTGATGAGGCAGTAGAATATGAGCGTTGTGATCATGCGCAGTTTGATTAGGTATGGCCATGATCACATGGCCTTAGACACTACTGGGCGTACATGACATGGCGTTCACCATCCAACGGTACATGACCTGACTGCCACAAATGAAGCAAAAGCACCACATTCATATCAGACATGCCTGGGGTTTGCACGATGTCCACATGCAAGTTCACCCTGAGACAACCGTGGCTCCATTCGTCGGATTGTCCTGCTGCTACTTTGAGCTCCAGCACGTTCAACACCACAGTGCTGACCGGTTCATTTTCGTGCTCATGGCCGCTAGAGCATTTGTAGCAGAGTCAGAGCCATCATCAAGCAGGTGTCGCGTACGAATCAACAGCACACTTGGTGCCCAAGTTCTACACCATTACGACATTCCACCCTCAAACGCTCCTTCCAATCGTTCACCCTAATCCGGTACTCCAAAGACATCGTCGTTCTCGTCTGCCACAATTGCCTCATGCTACCGCTGCTTTCGCACCTGATCGAGGGGTACTACTTTGTAACAAACCATGTTGTCGCGCGTCCTTCTCTTCAAACGTCTCCTTGTCCACACAAGCGTTCTCATGCTCCACCTTTTCCTCCGCCTCTCGTCGTCTCCTGTCCATCTTCTGTTGCTGTGCACTGATCGGTTTCTTCGGTTTCAACTGATTAAAGATCGGCGGGAAGTCGAGTGCATTCAAGAACGTGATTGTCTTGGGCGTATCCAATTTGCTATAATACCGCACCATGCGACCCACGGACGGTGCTTTCGGCACAAGACTCTCCACTTTCTTCTCCTCCTCCAGCTGCTCCAGTCGCTGGAGTGACTGCGTATTCTCCACCTCCGTCCTCACTGCTTCGGCCAATAATTGAGCCTGGGTCAACCGACTGCCAACCTTCTCGACTGTCCCTTTCTTGTGCTTCGCGGCCAATTTGGCCGCTTGATGCGACGCTTGTCTTCTCATTTCAGACGACTCGGACGACTTCTTCACAGTCGATGACCGAACTGTTGGCGCCACGTACTGATACAGTGATGTCATGGACGAAGTAGGCGCTGCAGGGAGTGTAGACCTATTTTCAGATACTTTACGTTTTAGAGCTGGATTTGAAAGCGGCTCTTTGTATCGTCCAGAATTTGTCCCGGAGCGTTTACGTTTTGTCACCTTGTCGTCAGCATTATCTTCGTCGTCGTGGACGTCAATATCCGGATGTTCTTCTTGGTCAAAGTCCGAGTCGACGACGTCCTCCTCTTCTATAGAGTATAGAAATAGGGATAGTAGTGAACAATAGAGATTTGTACGTGAGCGGTTTCAAATGTCGTTAGAAATAGAGCATCCATGAAGGGTTTCTAAATGACATGGGACGTAATGACTGCACCTGCTTCAGTTGAATAGTCCTCGTCTTCGCCGTCTTCGTGCCATGCCGAGTGGCCCCAGAACGACGCATCGATTTCTGCTTCTTCTCCAATGAGTTTGTGGATGCGCGTGCCGCGAGATGAACGAGCTGGAAGGACTTTGCGCGTCGCGAGGTCATTACGAGGACGGGACATCATGAGTCAGTGCGGATAAAGACGAATACGGTATTTCTATCACCTTATTGGCTCAGAATCACCCACTTCGTTCGTGGGTGGGTGCAAAAGCTGTAGATTTCACCCATTCAACGAGATCATTTCATTGAGCTCGATTGGTTGTTTTTGGCAACAATTTTGACTTGTGCAAAAGTGTGGTTCGACTCGTATACGTATACCCGCCGTCATTCAAGTGCCAAAGCACTCTCCTTACCAGTCTTTTGCTCAAAGGGGTTAGTTACTCAATCCCTTTGGACAGTTCGTGTTGCTGGAACTGCTGGCAGGTCTTAAGTGAAGCCATCTCCATTGCTTCTTTACTTCTGTATGTAAAATAACAGCAAAGGAGCGAAGAGGTCACAACGAGTTCCTAGAATCCAAGACAGAATATGGAGTCAAGGACGCCCCGCAGTTAACCGTCGATTTCATAGACTTCCTGGCCACAATATCGTTGAACCTGTCGCTACGATTGCAGCCAAAGCAGTCGTGACAGTTTGATATCATCCACACTGCTACCTCAATAGCTCACTTCTCCGCAGCCCAGTCCTGGCATTCTTGGAAAACCCAGCTTGTCACTTCTATCTAGTAAAAGCGCGACACCAGTCCAGCTGCACTGACGCTCCTCCCAATCACCAAACAATCTCAGGGGTGGCCAGTACGTAGTACTCACCACATACGACCGACTCGGGTCTTTCCACAAATGAGTCTCGAACTCGCTTTAGTTTGCGATTGTACTGAGGTCCCTCCATTCATGACAATAGTATCCACGAGTGCATACATAGGAGCAATCTTGGTTTCCAACATTGCTGATACTTCGAGTACTACCGTTCAAGAGCTCTTCCGAACTGATGTTCATGTAAATTTATCACTGTTTATCAATCAGTCTCTGTCTTCTTGACTCTACGTGAAGTGTGAGTGGCACCCGCGTGGTAAACGATTCAGAAGTCGTGCAAAAAGGACAAGCGAGATGCTGAAAGCTCTGGAGTCACTATGGACAACCTGTAGTTCGTCTCCACACGCACACAGAGAGAAAAAGAGAGAGCGAGAAAGAAGGAGATAGACGTCCGTCAAGCTCAATTCATGGGGCAATGGCTTGCATATTGCAAAGAACGTTTACGTTGGATCAACCTGAAAACGGTGTTGATCCTATCCATGTCCGTGCCGATCCAAAGAGCCATTGGGCAGTCTTGTGGATTGACAACAGCCACGTTGTCGACAACCTGCAATGGCGTATGCTCACAGTACGAACCGTGCGTGGTTTACACCGGCTCCTCATGTCCTCAAGGCGTTTCGTGTATCACGAGCAACCAGTGCGAGATCCAGTGCTTCTCGTTGAAACCGCGGACCAACTCGACTACGTTCACGTTTGCGATCGCGTTTCAGCGGATACGAACGGCAGACAGCAAGTTGTTCATTGAGGAAAAGGCTCATGGTCGTTTGAACGAGACCCTCACGGACGCGACAGTCGGTACCGACGCCATCTCAAGTCTCAGTACTATTGATCTTCAGCCTGCTGTGATCTCGTTGTCAGTCAGTGAAGTTTCAAGCCAAAGGTGGGGATGTTGTAGCTGACGATAGTCCTGTTGGTGTTGTGCTTTGTCGCTTCTTGTGTGTGAAGTGCGGTCGTTGGAGGCTCAAGCGCTACTGCGTCTTCGGTGAAGAGCGAGGTCGTTAAGGTGACCTTTGGTTCCGATGTCATCTCTTCACAAACTCACGTCACGAACGTCGTGCTCAAGAACTTGGACCTTTCGACTCCTGCTACGCTAGAGCAACTACCGATCGTGCTGCCAAAGTCGTTGCAGAAACTTGATCTAACCAACACACTGCTCACGTCATTTCCGACACTAGTAGCAAACTTCACGAGTCTCCGCGATCTGTAAGTAGCTTTTTCAGGCGCATTGATAGCAGACCGTTTACGAACTAACTTTGTGTTTTGAGTAACAGTAACCTGAACATGAACTCGATGACTGAAATTGCCGCGACGGAAGCACTCAATTCGCTTGGTCACCTGTACGTATCACCGTCTACAACTATCCAACTCTCGATACCATTCATAGCTCACATTGACCGTATCCGTGTGAGCAGAAGTCTTCGCAACAATAACCTCAACAGGTTCCGTGCTGTTTTCCCCAATCTCGTCACACTGGACTTGACCAACAACAACTTGACCAGCATTCCTCCCAGCATCTACATCCATGAAGGTCTGAAGGAACTGCGGATAAAAGGCAATCCTCTGACCAAACCGTGGTTCACACAGCAGCAAATTGACTGTCTAAGCCAACTCAATGTCTTGGATCTGGAAAACAAGGACTTCACGAAATCTATCGACAGCTGCAGCAAGAAAGACCAACTTAACGTGCATGCCTTGATCGTGTGCATCTCAGACAGTCCCGATGAAGATGGCAAGGATATCAATGAAGCTAGTACGGGTACATCTTCGTCAACGGCTTCGGACGTATCTACTATCGTGGGTGTCCTAGTGGGTGGCACCTTGATTATTGGTGTCATGGTGTTCGCGACCATGTGGGTATACAGGAGACGTGTGCCGCGTGCTCTGGATCGCCGCTCAAAAATCGTCCGCGAGTCTTACTTAGGTGGTTTATCACCGCCTCTTGCGCGATCGCCTGCTACCAAAAGTTATCGTGGTGGCCGTCGTACACCTTTGAGTGGCGGACCACGGTGTTGTTCGAGTGGCTATGAAACTACTGACAACAACAACATCTCTCGACTCTCGACTCGCAGTACACATAGTACCAATAGCTTCACTGCGTATTCACTCTGGAATGACGAAGAGCTGCTGTCGTTGCAGGTAAAGTGTGACGAGATTGAAGATGTTGGTACTATCGGCAGCGGATCTTTTGGTATCATTTGGCTTGTCAAGTATCGAGGGTCTCAGCTACTGGCGTCCAAGCGACTTCGATCTGATCAGGTCACCAAACAGCGTACACAGGCATTGATCGAAGAGATCAAGATGGTCGCTCCTTTTGATCACCCGAACGTTGTCCGCTTTATCGGATGTGCATGGACCATCGAGACTGACTTGCAAGCACTGTTTGAGTACATGGAAAACGGCGATCTGCGTGATTACCTGGTAAATCCGAGTTCGCCTCGTCACTGGAGTCAAGAGCTATTGCAGTTATCCCTGGATGTCATTGAAGCACTCGTGTACATGCATTCCTTCACACCGCCATTGGTGCATCGCGATCTAAAGTCTCGAAACATTATGCTGTCAAGCGAGTTTAAAGCTAAGGTGACCGATTTTGGAGCGTCCAGGTACAAGTCAGTAGATGAAACCATGACTGCAGCTGTCGGGACGGGTCGGTGGCTCGCACCAGAGGTCATTTCCGGCAGCACCACGTACGATCAATCCGTCGACGTCTTTTCGTTTGGTGTCGTGCTTTCTGAATTGGATACGCACACAATCCCGTATGATGACGCTCGCAGTGCGAATGGCAATCGCTTGAACGACATTGCGATTCTCCAGCTGGTGGCTACAGGTCAATTACGTCCTCGATTTGGAGCAGGTTGTCCACCAGAGCTGCATGCACTGGCCGATCGGTGCCTCGACCAAGATCCTGGAAAACGCCCACCAGCTTATGTGGTAGCATACGAGCTACGGAATATTCAACGCTCACATTATGCGTCACTTTAGGTGGAACAACAACTCGAGCTTGCATTGTGTGGTATCCGATGGAGTAAATGGGTTGTGAATGTCAGCCACATTCATGTTCCCTGAAATACGAGGAGGATGATGTGATGGAGAGATGGTCGACAGAAGTTTGTCGATACAAACATTGGTGGACAACCAATACCATTGAGCCTGTCACGAAAAGGTGGACAGAGGTCAATTACACCTATTGTGGCTTGACTAGGATGCTCGAATAAATTAGACAGATCTTGCTGTATGACTGGTCCAGTGAAGGCGATGATCGTCTTTGTGGAAGCGACGCTTTTGACACTTCGCAAATGACGTACAATGAGGGAGACCGGGCTATTTTCACTGGATCGATGGTATGAAGGGTGCTGTAGGGTTTGCATGAGGGACGAAAAGGGCGGGTGTGACCACGGGAGAACCTGGTGCGAGACGGCTCTCTTCCTTCCGAAACGTGCCAAGAAACGCAAAATGCGTTCCATCTCGACACGTTTCTACTGATCTGGACTCTGATCTAGTCTCTGATGGCACCGCTTCGCCCTGAATGATATTTATGTACCTGCGCTCGTTTGAACTTCCAGACAGACATTGGACTGTATGGTTTACAACTGACCAGCTTTTGATGGGGCTGTGGCTCGGGATAGATGACAAGAGAAAGCTTTTGAAACCACCATTTTACAAGAGCTTCCGTGCAACAGGTCGTGCTATCTCGTACGTTTGTGTGTACAGTTGCTGTACCACCGCCGGCACGACATTCAGGACGGCTGCCTTGAGATTTAGCACAAGTGCTTCGTCATGATCGGAACGAGATGCAGTGGGGGAAAAGTGGCGCGACATGGTCTGGAGAAAGAAAATGCTTGATTCGAAGACATCAACGAGCGAACGACGGTCAGTCTGTAACCACGCTAGACTGGGCCAACTGAGTGTTGGCCAGCGCATCGTGCCTTCCTTCAAAGGAATGTGTGCGTGCTAGCTCCGACCCGAGTTGACCTGACATTGAAAAAGTAGATCTCCAGGGTTTGTAGGCCGCATTTGATGCCAATGTTCCTATTGTGATTCCATACACAAGCTACAGTCTTCTCGTCGGAAAACACGGGGCATCAAGAGATCTATGTCCGTGTGCTGTAAAGTGCCTGTACGCGGTTAAAACAATGGAAATCGTTGGTGTACGACAAATCCGTGAAAGCCGGCGCGTACACATCATGATGCTGTCGCTGCAACTACTGGTGGCCGACCGATGAGTACAGCTTTGTATTGACATCACTGGAGTCGGCAGCGGTTGGTAGCGATCAAATCGAGCAGTTAAAACATCTTTACAAGACAAAGACACGAACGAGCTGGTAACATCTATGGTCTAATGTGCCCGAAAGCCTCGCGCTGGACCTCGCTGTACAAGACGAAGCTGTCTTCCATACCCTGCAGCACTACAGTACACCTTCACTTAACTTCGCGCGCATGTCCACGAAATAAGTATCGATAGCGTCGCCTCGTAAGATCAAAACGACGCTACTGCCGTCTCTAGTCTTTGTTGTTGTGCGGTCACTTCGTCAAACAGGCAAATATGTACTGCGGAATGCGGAGAATGACGGTACGTATCGATCAACTACAGCTCACAAAGGTTGAGAAAGGGACGTGGTACGCGGGCACCGAGTATGAGACTACAGCATCTCCGCGCTTTATCCCAACTGGGACGGTCCGCGAGCTGTAGAACTCCGCGTCCACATCGGCAGGTCCCAAGCTCCAAGGGCGTCCGGAAGCACCCTTACCTTAACTTCGTCGCAAGTTGCGCTCTTACAAACATAGAAGATGTAGCCGTTGTTTTTTTGACGGTGGCGGGCTGGCTGTTGCAGCTCTGTTGATGGGCATGATCTTCTCTCTCAGCATGCTAAAGAATCGGCCATAGAGGCGTTGCAAGGCGACACCGTGCGAGTTTGCCTATCCCGATCTGCTCGGCAGCAGTGCGTGAGTAACAATCCTTCCGTCTCTGTGTGTGGTAAGGGTCAGACTCGACAATGTCTGCAAGCAAACGCTGTCACGATGTTGTCAGCATGTAGAGATCATACAGGGAGCCCAACTGATCCGATACTCGACGCGTTTCTTCTCTCTCTCTCTCCAGAGCTAAGAAGAAGAAGAAACACGTTGCGTATGGCTCTACTAGCCAGTGGATCCTCGGGTTCTCCTCTCCTACCGTTTCGAATGCATGCGGAGCTGTTTGTAATACAGAGGAACAGACCGGTCGAACGTATCTATCTGTTCACGACCAGGCAAGTAAGACCCTTTGATCACTGAAAATGTATCGCCGTGACAGGCGCATATTTGTCCGCGCTTCTACGCCATCTTAATCCACTGCTCCACATGGAAGAGACGACAAAGCAAGTGGGATCGGCACTTCGTCAGCACCAAGATCGATCACAATGAACCAACGTGGGGAAAATGGATGGTCAGAAGCCAAGCGGGAACATGCGAGCGCGCTCGCTCGTCAGCCGGTGAGCAAGCGCGTGGACCTACTCTTCACGCATATGCGCAAAGTTACAACTCATCACAGTAGGATACGGGTCACTCACGCCTTAGGCCGACGAGCTCCTCTTCTGGAACAACACGTCGGCGAGTGGCCTCCTGTCCCGGGAACCAGCTGGCACCGCATCATTTATAGCCGTGCCAACCTGCTATCCTGGAAGCCGACTCCGGCTCGCATCCTAATACGAGAGTTCTACTGTCTTCTCCTTTCGCAGTGGCGTCAATGACGACAAGTCAGCCGCAACCCCCTTCGCCACCCTTGACGGCTGGCTGTCAACTGCCAGTCAAGAGCTCTCGCTTAGAGGAGACTATCGTGAACGTCTGCTCGCTTTTCTAGCTTTCTTCACGCGAGTAACTTGCCACGTCATCGACGAAACGACGCCAATAAACCGCTCATTCTCTCTCTCTCTTTCTTCTGCCGTTCCGACGTCACTATCAGCCTGAATACCATCATTACCACTATCACCCGGAGTTGCAGCAGACAGACATTGAAGCCTCCGTTTCGCACGTCATCGCAGACAGGATCCACGCAGGCTGGCTTCAAATCAGCAAGGGAGACAGACAAGAAGCGGTCTCTAAACGCTGCGATTGGTTTCAAGGTCTCACCGTTTTGCAGCTGAGCTCGACCAGGGTCGTTACCCACCGCTCACCACACGGCAAGAGTGGGAGGTCGCCGCCGCCCGGAACGTGCTCCGGCCGTACCCATAACGACCAAAAACTGCTGCTGCTGCCTTGACACCTCGTGGCCGCCGCGGCAATTAGGGCTCTCGTAGCCAGGCGGTTGGCTGCTCCACGCCTTTGTCGCCCGCTGTGACCGGCTCCTTCCCAGCACAACGCCTCTGCACAATGGGTGTCGCGTCCAAAATCTGGCTGGATCAGGCGCGTGAACAGCGGGTTTCCCACGGCAGCTGGAGCTCTTGCCCCTACCGGATGAAAAGAGTTCCCAGCTGACAGCACTCGAGCAGCCCGCTGCCCTTGCTGGTCAGGGAGTGACGACCGCCTGACTGTATACTACCAACAAGCGAAAGAGAGAGAGATAGAGAGATAGAGAGCGAAAGAGAGGAGGAGAGAAACAGGTAGCAAGTCGATATCTTATCATGGGGCTGATCACGCACATTGTCGTGGTGGCTCCAAGATCACTGGCAACGAGACCGTCTTATGCTTCCGCACGAGGGAAATGAGCACCCGTTTCGCCATGCTGGTTGATAGATCATCATCGAATCGATCGACCGATAGCAAGTTTACGGACAAGTCAACGGAAAAGTGGGGCACCTGAATGCCACTCCAAGACGAAATCACACACACACAGACCGACAGTGGGGACAAAGTGTCCCCTTTTTCCTATTCTTTCTCTCGCTTTGGCCGAATAGTCGTCTACACGCCAGCTGCGATCGAGCCCTAAAGCCTGTAAGTGAGTGAGCGAGTGAGCGTCTATGAGTGGGCGCATGTCTTTTTTCTTCTGAAAAAGCCTCCGCTTTCCACGTCCGTTGGCAGCCGGCGTTATCTCGCTTCTTTTCTTTGCTTTTTCACCCCACGTCCCGTCTCCGGGCCCGCCCTTACTCACGTCTTGGCCAAAACGCCCGGTCGCCCTCACTCACTTATTCTCCAAATCACTCGAAAGCCGTCGCAACAGACAGTCAGTCAGTCAACCCACCCACCCAGCCAGCCAGCGTCTGTACATACAGAGACACAGACTAGGGAAGCGCAGCCGTTTGTATCACTTTTCAATCGACCGTCTCCACCACACGAGCTGCGTTTGTCTCCTTTGATGCAAAGTCCCCGCGAGATCTCGTCCGAGCCCCAGGGCGCCCTCACGCCGTCCACTGCGCAGCTTGTAGCAAAAGCTGCGGTCGAGGTGCCGGAGACGGGTGTGACCCCCCGCGTCTTGGACTCAACTGCTGCCCGTCAACCTTGGGCGAATCTCAGTGTCGACACGACCGCCAGTCCTCCCTCGTCTCCGTCTCCTCCTCCTCTCACTCCTTCTAGTAGTACCCACTCTCACGTACCTCCTGCCGCTGCAATAACCGCTTCCTCTCCGGCAACAGCCAGTGCGCCGTCGTCTCTCCGCTCCGGCTCGGGGTCGAGTCACGTCACCCTCCCAGCCGGTCTCTTGCCGGAACGGTACACGGCCGACTTGACCCATTGGCAGTCACCCGCTGACCTCCCCGAGCGTCGTCTCATGGTCCAACGCATCATTGCCATGACCCGCAGCAAGCGCGTGGCCACGGACACGAGTGACGCTCTGGGCGTCGATGCCCGGACGCCGTCGTTGGCCAAACGCATTGAGCTCTCGCTCTACTCGCGTGCAGCGTCGTTTCTGGAATACCGGGACTTGAACACGCTCCGCCGTCGTCTCCAGTCGCTCGTGTCGTTGAGTTTCCATGAAGCTGCCGTCTCTCGTCGTCAAGCAGCAGCAGCCGCTGCGGCAGCGGCGGCATGTGTGACGGCAGTCCCATTGCTGGGCAAACGCAAGGGCCGAAGCACAAGCACGACCACGACCTTTGGCGTCTCGCGACTTGTTTTGAAACGGCCGCGACCTGACGACTGGAATTTTCCGACGGTTTCGGAATGTTCTGTCGAACCAGCTGGCTGTGCCGCGCCGTTTTTTCTCCTGGACGAAACGCTATTGGGACTTGTGTTTGCCTTTCTGCCCGGGGTGGAGACCGTCCGGTGTATGCAGTTGAACCGCTTTGCGCAGCGGGTCCTCCCGGACTGTGTGTTTGCATTGGATGTGGAGCTGCGGCAACTGCAAAGTGCGTACCGGTTGCACGCCCTCGTGGACACGACTCGCCCTGCAGCGACGTTGCTCTGTCAGTTTCCCAACTTGACTGACTTGACGGTGTACAATGCGAGGAAACCGCTGTGTGACCAGCAAGAAGACGGACCAGCGCTACATGCCTGGGGCTGCAGTGAACTGGACATTAGTCATGACAATGTTGGGGAAAAAGTCGTGCAGCAATTGGCCGAAGGCATTGAACTCGGTGCGTGTCGACGTCTCACGAGTCTTCGTCTGGTCTCGGTGTTTACCAACACGTGTCGGGGCAATGCGCTGCATTTGTTATGTGCCGCTCTGGTCAAAGGATCGTGTCCAGATTTGCAGGATTTATTGCTGGGTGGCAATGGCTTTTCGGATGTCGGCACGGTGGACGTCGCGTGGCTGTTGAAAGCTGGCTCGTTGCCGAAACTCGCGCGGTTGGATATCCGTCGCAATTATATCGGCGAGTCGGGGCTCAAGCGGATCATGGCTGCGTTGCGTGTTGGTCGGTGCCAGCAGCTCAAGTATTTATGCATGGGAGGGAACATTATCACGGACAATTGCGTCGCGCCTGTCGTGAAGCTCCTCTCGAGTGCGCAGTGTCCGCAAATGCGGTTTCTTGGACTGGAAGATAATTTCCTGAGTGCACGTGGCGTGCAGTGCATCATTAAAGCGGCCGTGGCTGGTGGAATGATGCCGAAATTGCACCATGTTTCGTGCGATGGGACGCTGGGCACGGACGAGGTTCCCAGTGCACGTGCAGCGTAAGAAAGCGTTGGTGTGCAGCACGTATATTGCAATAGTAGGGGTAGAAATTGTTTAATAATTGGCTAGAGAAACAGCAGCTTTTAGTATCATTCTCGTCCACATCGTTGGAAATATTACCGGCATGAAATCGAAATGTATCTGCTAGTTGAAGTCATACGAATGGAGCTCGTACCAGTCGTATTTTACCAGCCAGTCGTGTACCCTCTAGCTCGTGGTTATTCGTATACCGTTTCGTACCCCTTCCTCACGTTACGGTGCGTGTATACCCGGTTTAAAACAGCATTCGTTCGTGTGTTTTATATCGTTCCTTTCGGTCGCCACAAGCCCCGATTTAAATAGAGATAGACAGAGAGGGTCCCGCATGTCGTACTTTATCCCGCCCGTCAACTACGGGATGGTCGAAGAGGACCTCTACCGCTCGGGACAGCCAAATGAGCTCAACTTCCCCTTCTTAGAGCGTCTGAATTTGCGCACGATTATTTATTTGGCACTCGAGGAGCCGAGTCCGCAATTCCAGAGCTTTGTGGAAGAACAGGAGATTCAGCTCGTGTTTCTGGGGGGCAATACACGAATGGAGAGTCGTCGCAAGTCATGGGAACCGCTTTCGGAGGAGACGGTGCTCGCTGCGCTGGATATTATCCTCGATCGGTCGAATTATCCGCTCTATCTTACGTGCCATCTCGGTCGAGACCGGACAGGTAAGCCACCCGCATTTGAAGAGAGTCGGAATGTACAGTGTTTTAAACGGTCGTTTTTTTGAGTGACGAGATTGTTTTTTATTAACGGTGTGTGTTTTTTTTACCTTTTTCGTACGATCCTCCGTGTGTAGGGGCAGTAGTGGGTTGTCTTCGCAAGATCCAAGGTTGGCATCTGTCGTCCATCTTTGAGGAGTACCGACGGTTTGCTGGCAGCAAAGTGCGGCTGCAGAACGAGCAGTTTATCGAGCTGTTTGACACGGACTTGGTGACGATCCCTGCCAGGTCCCCGTCGTGGGTCCGAAAGCCCCAACACCTGTGAAAGGATTAGATACGACACCGCAGAGAGAAGAGGAGAGGAGAGGAAGGAAGAGACGGCGAACTTTGTGCACTGGAACAAAAACACACAGGAGAAAATGAGCTCGACTTGTTGTGATGATCACGCCATGGTGCTTCTCATCCCTCCCCACTCTCGCAGAAAGAGAGAGAGAGGTCCCTATCACTCCATAACCGTCGTCTCCATCATCCATGTTCAACAAAAGCACCAGCTGCTTCCCGTTGAACCTCGTGTAAAACCACTGCAAGCCAGAAACCAGCCAGCCTCCGCTTGAGATCGACTTCAAGTTCCTCGATCGTATTAACTCCTCAGCTGCTGCTTGCTCCACGAGCACAAGAGTGCTCGTCCTCATCTCGTCGGTATCGTCTCAATTAGCATCAGATGAGCGGGTTACGCACCAAGAGCATCCACCGACCTGCTCCAGTGCACAGTCAATCTGATCCTGATCTTCCAGCTCCAGCATCTTGGGCGTCTGGTCCCCACTGATGCGCGTGCCATCCAAGAGGAACCGCAACGCACTGGCCGGCACGCCCTTGCGTTGCGCATAGGCGCTAAAGATCTTCTCCATCTTCGTATTGGGCTTCACCTTGAAGAACGTCTCCTCCCCTGATTGGTCCTTGACTCGGATCGTGATGGGCTCGACCTTCTTCTTGTCGTCGCTGTTGCTTGCGTCCGTGCTGGGAGGCGCTTCTTCGGACATAATGAGCGGGAGGTAAACGGCGCTTGGTGAGAAGTGGTGCGTACGATTCAGAAAAAGAAGAGGCAGACTATTGGACACGAATGGAGATGTTAGTTGACGATTGTAGCATAGAGTCCAGTCGTGTGGGTGGGTGGTTTTTTTGTAGACAACGGTTTCGTCCAATAGAATAGGGTTTTTTCTATTTACGACACCGAAACGCGAAAAAGCATACACCCACGGAAGAAAAAACACAGACACAGCGAATAAAACACACATGCACACACCTTTCGGCAGTCGCTTGAATTGGAAAGTGAGTCCATCCTTCGATCGCCTCAGCGTGTTTTTCTTTCATCCATCCACCTGACCTAGTCTTCCGTCAGGACGTGGTGGTCCTAATCTAGGTCGATCGCTCCGCTTAGTGTGTGGGTACCACCTTATTCTCGGCACTCCCCATTCCCGTGCTCAATCAAAGACCCCGCCAGCTCGCGCGTCGACGACTATGGTGCGTACGAAGCACGTTCAGAGCGCGAGACAGGGACGACAGTCGATGCGTGTCTCACTACATATTAAGCACACGCATCTGAGTGTGTATGGTGGTTAATTTCACTGCGAAATGACCGGTATGGGGCGGTCTAATGAATAAAACACACGTGTATCTTTGGGTGTGGCTGTAGCTACCGCTCTCGCTGCTCAAGACGGCACAGGGACACCCGATGGTATACTGAACTCGATACAAAAGTGGACGTATGGGGATACGCTGAAGTAACGCTTATGTCGGGCCTTGTTCGTGGGGTTCTCTAGCTGGTGGAGCTCAAGAACGGCGACACATACAACGGCCACCTCGTGAACTGCGACACGTGGATGAACGTCAACCTGCGGGAAGTCATTTGCACGGCCAAGGTGTGTGTGTGTGTTACTTCAGACATGTTGTGGTTGCTACTTTAGCCACCTGATAAAAAGGTTGGCAACGTGGACGTGACGGCATGCATGCGTGCTGTTTGTGGATGTGGATGGTTTAATCCTTTGGTGTAGGACGGCGACCGGTTCTGGAAGATGCCGGAGTGTTACATTCGTGGCAACACCATCAAGTACATTCGTGTACCGAATGAGGTGAGCAGGAAGAGAGGAAGTGGGGTCAAGGGTGCTACTGGTTTTGTGGATGTTGATGGCGTTGCTGGTGGGGTACGTTTCTTTCTCTTTCGTACAGATTCTGGACATGGTGCATGAAGAAGACTTTAGCAAGCGCGGTACGTCGACATTCTTTCGTTCTTTAGTTGTTGTGTTGGATGTTATGAGATGTTGACGAGTGTATGATGTATGTGCTGTTCCTGCGGCTGGGGGGATGTAGACCGTCAAGCAAACCGTGGCCGTGGCCGTGGATCGCGTGGCGGCATCGGCGGTCGAGGAGGTCGTGGTGGTCGTGGTGGACGCGGTGGACGTGGGGACGGCAGTGACGGCGGGTCAGGTCGTGGGGATGGTGGTCGTGGCCGTGGTCGAGGTGGCGGGCGTGGTCGTGGACGCGGTCGTGGCGACAACTAGCTAGCAAGAAAGAAAGCCACACGCACACACGAGCTGGAGCGATGAAAAGTGCGGTGTCTTTTGAACGACGTGAGCGGTCCAAGACTATTGAGGAACGGAGAAGAGCGTGGCAACTCTGACCCACCCGATCGGACAAACAGAGCACAAAGTCGAGTGTTCACTGCCATGCTGCTGCAGCGGGTCGATCAACATTGATCCGATTGTTGGCGAGGAAAGTCACGCAGCTGCAGGCAAACCGAACTGAAGAGTTTCAAACAGCAGCAGTCGGTTGTTCATTATCAATCCCCTCCATGACTTCCACTGCAGACTCCTCCATGCACAAATCACTTTGTTTGATTGCTGCTGCTGCCATCCCGCTGAGTTTGCGGGTTGTGCTCCATGAGGTAGGACGCCAGCCACTCGATCGGGTTTGACGGCCGCTCCTTCACAAGCGCCGACATGCCCTGCAGTAGAATCGGCACGACCGTCTGGTCCAAATACGCGCGGATGGGCAGCGCTTGCACCTCTGCCTTGTCATGAGCACTCTCCGCTGCAGTCTCCCCTCCAGATTTAATGGTCTCCTGCTCGTCCTCGTCATCCTCTTTAGCCTCGAAGTTTTCAGGTCCAGACTTGTCAGGAGTCTCCGTCGTCTCGCGATTTGCTTCGTGGGCTTCCTCGACATTTGCGTTTTTGCCCTCACTTGTCTCGATGTTCTCTTCCGTTAAGGCGACAGATTCCTGCTGCATTTCTTCGGTTTGGGTGGGAGGAACCTGCTCGTGGTCAGCTGGAGATACGTCCATGACGCTAGACTCGGAGGTGGCATCTGTGCGCTCGAAACAAAAAAACACACACACACACGCACATAATTCACAAGATGGTTTTTTTCATTTGTTTGATTCCATTTGTAGCAAATCTAATCAGTTGTGGGCGTAAAGTTACGAGGTGCTACGTACTGGTGTGTCGAGTTTCGGATTCCATCATGGATCGAAAAGGTTACGAATGGAGAGATGGAGATGGAGAGAGAGAGGGACGTCAGTAGTCGCTTGGTTGTAAATGGCTAATACAGACGAGGATTGGAGTGACTGAATAAAAAACGCAGTGTTGATCACGATTTGAGGGAGAAGAGAGAGGTAAAAGACACGTCATGATGTGGCCAACACCGTCTCAAAACAGCGCAGCATCGGCTGTTCGATACCATCGCATCTAGAACTTCCAGATTTGACAAAAACGAGCGATCGAAACAAACTTCAGCAAAAGCACATGGATAGATAGATGTCTGCGGACTTACTAAATTGCGCAGTGACCAACCACGTTGCAAGCGTTCCGGCTTCGTCTTTACCTATGACCGACCCCATCATCACATCATGAGCTCGAGATCACAAGCAGCTGCAGTTGCAGACGATCCTGCTCCACTGAGGTCTCTGTTGCTCGCCAGTACTTCCAGATCTCTCTCTCGTTCTCTTTCTCTCTCTCTCTACATGTTCCGAAGCGCCTCTTCTTCTTCGTGCTCGAGTCGCATGGCCTCTTTGATCGCCCGACTTTCTGCTTCGACCCATCCTTTTTCAATATCGTCGTACTCTGCAGGGTCTGCAAACTCAATGCCGCGCATCTGGGAAAACTTGTCGAGGAACCGGTGACTCTCCACTTGGTCGTACTTCTCAATGAGCATATTGAACGCGTCTTCTTCCGGAAGGCCCATCTCAATGAGCGTCAATTGCTCATCGGCAAACTCGTAGGCCGTCTGGCCGTCCACGATGCCGTCCCGCTGCTTCATATAAAGCTCAGCCAGTCGGTCCTGAGGGAACGTGATCACTGGGACCTTATCACGGTCTTGACGCGGGATCGGAGGTGGCGGGAAGCGGTCGACCACGGGCACCCAAGACGGTCGTCGCATGCCCCCGTTACGGGACAGCCCCTTGACCAAGCGGATCATGTCCATCGTTTGCTTCCTCGCTCGACCCATTGCGAGTGTCCCAGCAGCTATTCGACGGCACTGAACCCGCTGCTGTTTGTGGGATCGACTGACTGGAAATGGAGTGGCGTCTTGAGGACGAATGGAGCGAAGCGACGCTGGTTTCGGAAAACTACAGATCGACTTTTGGTAATTGTGTGCGGTTCGATTGTTTGTACCAAAAGAGGGTACAGGTTTGCGACATTTGTTGCAGAAGGTGGGTAGGTAGGCAGTAATAGTACATTCGAGTCCATGAAGCTCGAAGCGCATCGTGTAGGTGACAGAAGCAGGTGTACCCATGAGTTAAAAGCGACGACAGCCCCTAGCGATTGACGATACAAGACTGAGACAGGCGCTCGATCGCAACATTAGTTGGTCGATTTCCTGCTGCTTTGGTGACTGATGCCGCCTCAGCTTCTCCGATTGTACCCGGTCTTCTTGGCGTCCAGTGCTCTTGTAATCCACGTGAAAAGCTTGTTCCAGTTCTCTGGGCTAACGATAACGTTGGTGCTCATCAGGGTGGACTTGCCTTGTGCCTTTGGACGGACGCGACCGAAGTACGTGTCCGTACAACCAGTAGTCGTGGATACTTACTTGCCTGAGCTGATTGGACTTACCCAATGGTCACAGCTCGAGAGTCGGAAGCTGTACAGCGACATGTCGATCAAGTACCTGCTGAACAGCGTCCCACAGACGCTGGCAGCTTTGCTCTTGCTGTACTATGCCTGCACGTTTTCACGATCCTCTAGCGCATTCACCCATCGCATGATGGTGCATTCATGCCTCCACCAGAGCGTGAATGGTCTCATGCTCGCTTCACTCATGTTTTCTGCCTTCCAAGCGTCACTCAGCTTGTGCTGCACGTTTCCAGCCATGTGGTACGATACATTTGGCGTTGCACTTCCAACATGGACACTGATGAATCTCTGCGTCGTCATGGACAGCCCCGTGGACCCAACTGCCTGCCAGCTCAGTCGAATTGTGGCGTGTCCAGCATCCGTAGCACACCTCAGAAACTATAACCTGTGCATGCGGGCGATCCACAGCTGTGCAACCATCACGGTGCTGTTTGCTTTGTCCAGTATTGAAGCAGCACAAACCGTCAAGGGTCTGAAGGCACAACAACGACGCGCCAAGTTGGTCACCTTCTCCCGTCACGAACCAGTCCACGAAGCTTCAGCTGCGATTGAGATGTAACCACCTGCTTGCAACACGTAACAGCAACAAAAAGCAGTGTGGGAACAAGAACGGTAGCAACAATAACAACAATATCACGATAACCACAATTATAACAATAGCAACGCGATTTTACCAAAACCATTTTTTTCAACCTTTTGCATTCAGTGCTGTCTTTGATCCATTCACGCGCCGATTTTCATCCACGGATATTCCAGAAACGATGGTTGAAACAGTACTCGTCCATGTCCGTCCTTAGCGACCGTACGCGATACTTGTTGCTCATCATGCACACACCCTTCCTTCTCTCGAGTGTAACCACGTTTACGCTGCGTATCCAGTGCACCCTCACAGTTTCGATCCCCTTCACGACATTTCAGCGCTTGCCACGGATCCAATAGAAACGACGGGAGAAAAAACCTCGAGGCATCACGCAATTCGTCACTTGCTCCTCGTTTGCGCTGAAACTGCAATAAAGCATACTCCCGATTCGGTCGAGGATGCGGTTGGATAAAACCTCCCCGTCCTCGTCCTGCGTGACGTCCGCCTCCTCTTCCTCTTCCCCGTTGACCTCCTTGATACTGTTGCGGCTGATGTTGGAGCTTTGGCTGACGCTTCTGCATCTGCTGCATCATCAGCTGTAACTGTCGAGGCATTGGCGGTGGTGGTACTGGTGGTACTGGTCCTGCATGACTAAATAGAGGTGGTGGTGGTGGTGGCGGTAGTGGTGGCACCATCGAGTTTCGAGGTTTAACCATTCGTTATCCTCTGGCTTTTATCCCGCTTTTCTCTTCGCCCTTTTTCTCGTGCAAACATCCAGAAACGCGGTCATATCTGACGTTCACCTCAGCTTCTGATATTCGCTCTTCGCTTGTCCAACTGCATGTTCAGTCAAATATAAACTCTGACAATCTACGCAATCAAACGGGTGGTCCCTTTTCTCGAGGCAACACCACCACGCAACTTCCTCGTCAGAGCCATTCGTCCAGTTCGGACCGCTTCGCTCCCGTGCCGTCGATCGACGTCGCCCCTCCCCTCCGTACAACCAACTCCCAAGGCACCACGAGCGCTCGAGTACCAGACTCTGTTTGCCACCTCTACCTCTCTCTTTCGATCGCACTGTCATAATTAATACCAGCGACAAGGGACCGCCCAGTACCACGACATCCAGCAAGATGAACCACTACGCGCCGCCGCCAGCTAATAGCGCCGCGTTCCCCCGTGGCGCGCCACCGCCGTTCCGAGGCCCTCCACCAGCGTTTCCACGTCCTGGTTTGCCCCTTTTTCGTCCGCCGTTCACTGCGCGGGGTCCCCCACCGCCATTTGCCTTTGCACGAGGACCAGTGCCCGCTTTTCATGGACGTGTCATCCCTCCTGGACGATGTGGTCCACCTCCAGGGATTGCTCGTCTGAGCATTCCACGGCCTATGATGGCTACATTAGGGTTTCAAGCCCCTGGGTTACGGCCGCTACGGAAGGAGGTTCGAGGTCTGGGACTCGTGCCGCCAGGATGGACGGAACACAAGACGTCTCAGGGGGTGACGTACTATCATAACCCGGTTACGGGTGTGAGCACCTACGAGATGCCGAGGATCAAGGAGACGGAGAAACGTGCTCGGAAGTGGATGGAGTACAAGGACGAGGCCACCGGTGCTTTCTACTATTTCAATACGGTGACAAAAGAGACAATGTGGGACCAACCCGAGGAGTTTCGGATGGAGAGAGCTAGGGAACAAGTTGCCAAGATGAAGACGGAAGCAGCGATGCAACCGGCAGTATCGTCGCCGATAAGGGGACCTGCAGTTGCACCGACAGCAGCAGCAGCCGCTCCACGAGTTTCAGCTGCACTTCAGCAAGTACTTGCTCCGGATCAAATTAGTGTGGCGTCCTCGGAATTTGAAGAAGAAGTGGACGAAGAGAAGCTGGCGGAACAGAAACGACGGGAAGCACAGGAGAAGCTGCGTCAAGAGCGGAAAGAAGCGTTGGAGCGGGAACAGGCAGCCCAGTTTGAAAAGATGCCGTGTGCTGACCGGATGACTGCATTTAAGCAGTTTCTAGAAGACAAACAGATTGCGCCGACGCTCAAGTGGGGCGATGCGCAGCGTGTGATTGGGAAGGACTCGTCACTGTCTAGTGATCCGCGATGGAAGTTTGCGTTGACGTCTGTCGGCGAAAAAAAACAGGCGTTTGCAGAATATTGCACGCACGCAAAGAACCGCGCGACGATTGAAAAGCGGCGACTTGTGAAGAAGACGCGCGAGGAATTTACCGAGCTGCTTGGATTGTTTGAATCCATCTTGGCACCTCCTTCACGGCGTCGTCAGGTATCATGGGATGAAGTTGTTGAGAATAGCAACTTTTACGCCTTGAGACAGGACGCACGATGGTCAGCTGTTGTTGAAATTCGAGAGCGGCAACAGCTTTTTGCCACGTTTATGCAGGAATTGGAGCGCAACCAGAAAGCTCGACTCGCCAAGCAACGTGACGAAATCCAAACGGCTTTTGTCGCACTTCTGCGGCAGCGTGTCGAGTCGAATCAATTGGACCTCGATACCAATCGCTCCAGCAAGCGACTGGATGCCGACGTTAAGCGTCGTGTCCTCGATTTATTGGAAGAGGTGGAACTTCCGAACAATGGTGGCAAGGTTGGCAACGATGCACTTCGGGTTGTTGACCGGCACGATGTGTATAGCTGGGCAGAAAAATTGTTGGAAGAACGCCGTGAACTGGAACGTGCTAAGCGCAAGCGTGAGCGTGCAGAACGCGTTGAACGGCAAGAAAAAATGTTGTCAACGCTGGATGAGCGATTAAAAGAGCTGATCGCTGCACAGAAGTTGACAGCGGGGAGTTCGTGGGAAGCGTTTTCGGCGGAGCACCTTAAGGATGCTAGCGAGCAACAAGCGAGAGAATCGAAAAGCGAAGCGGAGGGCGCTGATGCAGCGAATACAGTTCGGAAGGATCGTGAAGACGGGGATGGCGAACATTTGCACTGGAAAGCGCAACGTCAGGCTTTTGAGAAGCACGTCCGCAGACTCCGTCGAGATCTGGAGCCTGTAGCTTTGACGATTCGCGCGTACTTGGATCGCGGCAGTGATCCTCCGTTACGTATAACTGAGACGACGTCGTATGCAGTGTACGTTGATGCTCTTGAGAGTGTAGTTGGTGTCACGTTGGATAAAAATGCACCAGAAGAGGGTGAAGAAGAGGTGAGTGAAGAGGCGAATGATGTTACGAAGGGTGCTGTTGAAGACCCTGACGTTAGTTTGGCTAATGGAAGTGGTGACGAGCTCAAGGAGTTGAAGTCGGAAGAAATTAATGTAGCTTTGGAGGCTGCCGTCAAGAAGCAGCGTGAAGTGAAGACGAGTCGTGCAAGTGTCGAGTTTCCTGCGTATGTGCGTCAGGTGTACGACATGTGGGTTGCTATCGCTAGAGAAGAAAGCCGAAAAGAACAGGAGAAGAAGCCGAAGCATCTCAAGCGAAGCCGCAAGGAGAGCCGCGACTTGACCGTGGAAGCTGATAGCGGGGAGAGCCGGCCTCGTCGCTCGCGCCGTCGGTCCTCCGTGGCAGATGAGGTGGAGAATGGTAAAAATGACAAGAAACAGCAGAGCCATCGAGCAGCTAGGAAACGTCGCCGTAGCAGTCATGGTTCACTGTCCAAGTCCCGGTCCCGCTCAGCCTCCCGACGCGACCGATCAAGTAACAGACGCAGCCGTCCTAACCGCAGTCGCAGTCGAAACCGATCACGTTCCCGTGATCGCGATCGAGCCTTATCTCCCAGTCAAGCAGCCAGAAGCTCCGACCCAGTCAAGCCGCGTACGACCGAGGACACGTTTTCTCCTCTTCGGACACCATCGAAGCCACTGTCCGCAGCAGAAGAAGCCGCGAAGGCTGAGGAGATTATTCGTCAGGCGCGGCTCAAGCTGCAAGCCAAGAGCAGCATGAGCACTAGTGATGAGCTCGAGGAGGGTGAGGAATTAGAAGAAGGTGAGGAGAGCGAGGACTAGATAATACTATTGTAGGCAGACTCCATGGACTGCACAAATAATTGTTGCACAATACCACGACCTCAAGACGTATCTGTACGCCACTGGACGTGTACGGGCTTTATTCTCCAGGTACGGGTACAACGCATCTCTGATTCGTAGATCAAGTTGAAGCTACGTGCGACAAGACAGGACAACGTAATCAGTGTACTGTATCGGCGTCCGTCAGCCGACATAATGCGTGTCGCAGACGAAACTGTAGGCACCGAAACCGCCAATTCGACAGTTGCACGACTGCAGTTTGCGACAGCATCGCCATCGTCTCAGTACGTCAAGTCGCCTCCAGTTGAAGTAACGGTCGACTATTATGCAAGATACACCAGCAATAATCCGGCCCCGAACGGTTCATGTTTAGCCCTTGTACTTGTCTTTGTATCGGATTTTCCACACAATTCGCGGCGACGCAGTGGGGGGTTCAGTGCATTACAGCTATCGATTTACAACGACGAAGTCCCTTCATCGGCTGATGGGAATAGCACATAATCCGAGTGTCTCCAGTAACACAGCCAGTCTTTGAGTCTTTCCTCAGTCATGGCGCTCTCGCTCTATCGCCGCATTCTGCGTGTGGCAAGGACATGTACGTCCAACGCATTTCATAGCTCTTTCGCTTGAACAACAATAAGGAGAAAGCAGCAATGAGGACCGTGGCTGAGCTTATTGTTCTCTCGTGTCTTTCGTGCGCCATCCCTTTGCTTCCGATATCTCTCCCGCAACTCGTTCCGGTGGATTCCAGGGGAAGGCGGCTGCGTGGAACAAAAGTGGATTCGAGATGAGGCCAGGTAGGAGGAACTGTACGTGTTGGCGTCTGTTTGATGTGTTTTTGCTCGAGCGTCTTTTGCTAGTAGTGTTCGTATCAGTGGGGGGAGGTGGCTGCGCTTTCATTGCAGTGGAAAAGGTGGATAGAGAGCTAATGAACTGGTTCTGGGCTGCACTTGTCTTGCTTGGCATGCAGACGACGCTTTGAGGACAATCGGTTGCTGTCGGATCCTGCTGCAATCGAAGAAGCGGTGCGAGAAGGACACAACCAAGTGGATGTGGCGCTGCACTACAAGATTTGCTATCCGCGACCGCAGTACGTGGACCCAGGCACAATGGGCGGCGAGAGCGATTTCCGTCGCCAGTCGTCCCGTGACAACATAAGACGCGGACGGCTGCACAAGAGCAAAGTGCAGAGTCAATTCCGTTCAGATGGACGGTGAACACTCACAGCGTAAGCGCATTCATCAAGCAACACCGACCCGACGGAAGTTTACCCCATTTGAAGTAGCAGTTCTGCTGGCTGCTTTGACATTCTCGTTTACGAGAGGTGGACTAATACTTCTACTACGCTACCACCGACAAAGGAAACAGCTTAACGCTTCATACACTTTAATGACGATTGCATTTGTGTGTTATAAATTACTATGGTATGCTATGGAATGAACACGACGGGACGCTCTCCGCCTCGAGACGCTTTACTTTCATCTACAACCAAGTCCCCCATCAGAGCGCTATGAGCAGCAACGAGTAAATGGAGCACCGCGGCAAGGCGAGAAACTGTGCCACCGTGAGGTTAAACCCCAGCGCTTGCATGCGGCCCACGAGCCGCACACCCTGCTCTTCGGTGCCTTTCAAGTCGTGGAAAAAGTCACTGGTCAGGTCCACGTCGTGGCGTTGCAGCTCGCGCTGCCATAGCTGCAGCAGGATTTGTGCGTACATGGGGACACTGGCGTGGCGCGGCGGCTTCTCCAGCGACTTGCGACGCTGGAGCGTCCGCTCCTCCTCGTCTTGGGCGAAGATCAGCGCGTCGATGTCCGCCAGCGACGCGAGGCTCCGTGTCGAGTTGGATTTGTGCAAGCCGCTGGTCTGGGACAACGTCCGTGAGTGCACCGGGGTCTTGATCATGACGTAAAAAGAGTCAAGAGCGATCACGTGCTGACGGTTTTGGGTCTGCCCTTGAGTTGGCAGATTCGGAAATGAAGTGCAATAACGACATGTTTTTGTTTAGCTGACGGAGGGGAGACGGTGGGCTCGTGCGACCGATTCCAAACAAGCTCGGCCGCCTGGTTGATGGATTGAAAATTGGGGGGACCAGTCGGTTGCACCAGATGCGCCCTTGTTTGCACAGACAGGCGGACTTCCAGATGGTGGCTTCAGTATGTCGAATACATAGCCGGGACATGACAGCTCCGACGCGCAAACTCACTTGATTGGTGTATGCAACTCAAGGCGCAAATGCGAAGAAAAGTGCGTTGCCATCACTCTGGCCATGCGGACTATTCTCGAAAAAAAGAGCGAATATATGCAGAGCTTTTGCTGCTCGGTATGTGATCCATATGACGAATTGATCAAATGAAGCCGACGATGGCTCAGTATGCAATAGATGGCAGCATGACATTGGAGCTTTCGATGGGTGAGATATTCGATTCATGGAAGCGGGATCATTGGGATCATGGGTGCATCCAACGGATACACTTTCATCACCGAAGGTCAAGCAAATGGCAGCGCTCTTGGATTCGATTGAGATAGCAGTCACTTCGGTGAGCAGAAGTCAAGCAACTTTACTATTTAGCAAGCGTGTGTGAAACGTCGTCGTTATGTCATCGGTCGACAGTGATGATGTCGTTCATTTGTGCGATGCATTACCGAACTAATCTGCAACGTGGCCACGTATCGATTGTGCTTTGTCGTCGGATATTGACGATCGTGTGGTCGTGGGTATCACGTCACGACGCCGTGAATAGGGAAGGAGTCGCTACTGCCGCATGTCTTGCGTGTGCTCTCTTTTCTGCAGAAACGGCTTCCTGCCAAGTTCACATGATAAAAAAGCTGCAAGGGTTAGCGGAAGTTGATCGATCCATGAATCCTCACTCATGTAGTGGGACAGCTTCGAGAGACGTGTGCACTGTCAGATTTCGACCCTAGTGTACCGTTACATGCGTGACATGTCGCCGGCGTTACTACCAAAAAGTAGTTTCGTCAACCGTTGGTGTCACTGAGACGCCCTTTCGTCATGATGTCTGCTAACGGCAGGTTGTGTTTCACGCGAGCTTAAGTGCTAAAGCTATCCGCCAACCCGAAAGTGCGACCGCTCGGTTAGTAGATCCAGGCGCTTCCATCTCAAATCGGTTTGTTCGCAACCGGTTTTTTGCTTCAGTCTTCAATAGGACATACAAATTGAAGCCCCAACGCTTCGTGTCATTGTACCTCTTCGATTTAGCGACATTGTGCGAATGGCGGCATCTAGCGTGCTTGTCTGGCGGTAGATGATACTTCCGTTTGTCGTGTTGTTGCATTCGAAATGAATGCGATTGGCAGGGATGTCAAGTAAAACCTCTCTATTATAAAAAATACTCGTTACCAACGTTTAGAAACAGGGCTTCATTTTATAACAGATTTTTAAATAAAATTACAGATTGTCAGTCTAACGTGCGAAAGGGTTACACACGGTAGAGTACCAGGCACCTGTGTTGGAGACACACGGGATGGTATCCTACCGAAAGAGATATAAAATACCTTATCGGTTTATAGCGGCTGACAGGTGTCAGCCACAAAATAGGAAAGATCTTGAAGATCTTAAATTTGGACGTGAGTGCCTAGATTAGGTAATATGAGGATTAAGACATTCTATAGAGTTTAACGTAAAAAAACATCAGCTCCCCTTTGATCTTGTCTAAGACACGTACCTTGCGAGGCGTCTCTGGTCGCTGATCGTTGAAAATAGCAACATCTCCCTGAGGTAGATATTTTAGAGCACTAGGTGCTGTAGATTCACTGAATCGTTCGTTCCACTGAAACAGGAACCTTGAGCTTCACGCTTGTTGACTCACAGGGTCTAGTTTTATAGAACTAGTATCGCTCTTTGAGCAGGAAGTCTTCCTCTGACATAAGGAGATTTGTAGCGCCGCTACATAGTAAGTGACTACCAAAAAACCTTTTTTAACGAGTTTAAGACACGAGAACAAATTCTGGAGCTTGCCCTATGATAAAATAGGAGAACAAGCTCTGGAGCTCACCCTTTGATATCGGTAATTTAGCTCGGATAACTAAATCAAGTTGCAAACCAATACTTTAGCTGTCGCTGTAGAATGAGTATGATGACGTTGTTGCCTGACTTAACCCAGTACAGTATACTTGGACGACGCAGTTATCCTTTGCTTATCAGCGTCCAAACTTTGCTTATGTGATCATGTCTACCTTTCATCGATTTAAAGCCAAATACAACTGTGCGTCCCTAAAGTGACCTGGGCAAAGAGTGACTTCGAATGTGCCTATATACCGATGAGGGGGGACAAGCTTGATCGCACATAGTGCGTGCGGGGTATACCTAACCGCGTCATTTACGGACACGCACACACAGACACACACGAATAAGTACGATAAAAAGTTCGGTATCCAACTTGTGCACAGGACTTCACCCTTCGGGCTCAAATTAAGTAATTTGACCTAGAAGTGAATTGAGCTTTGTACATTCGCGTCCTTGCGCTTTGCCACTGATAGCTTCACCCTTCAGTCCCGCAATAATACGTATCGACCAATGACGAGAGATAAGTGCCGCCTCGTACTGAAGACGACGTGTAGGGTTCAAATAGCGTTTATTTGCAGACATATGCAAAGGAGGTGACAGGTTACACTGCGCTTATAACGACGTGTAAGGGACACCGAGCGTTAATTTGCAGAGCATGCAAATGAAGAGACATGCTACATCGTACTTAATACGAAGTATCAGGTACACAGCTAGCGCTACTCGCGGACACAAAATATTGTACTTAGTGCGAAGAGTAGGGTTCACCAGGCGTTCTTCACCTCCACAGGAGGTGAAAGGCTAAACTGGATTTGGTAAGACAATTATGAGACCCCTGGCGATATTTGTACACAGACATACCGACACAGACACACAGAGAGAGAAAAAACGAATCGAATGCTTGGCATTTAACTTTTGTATTCACTAATAGATTTACCCTCCGAGATCGCAATCTATACAGTATTTACCACCCCCGTAGAGTACACGTTTATGAGCATCAAGAAATTGTTGAGACCGGAAAATGGTCTCGACAAATCAATTTTTTTATTACTTTGCATTACAACATAATCCAAATCAGAGACAAACGCGCACATTCACCACCTTTTAATCGTCAATCATCTCGACAAGCTCAAGACATGGTCGCAAAACGTGGTAAGAATCTAGCAAGTTGAGTTGGACCGCATACTGGACCTCGCTGATACGGGAAATGCAGAGTCTGTCAATACGCCATGGTCATTCAACGTAAGACAAGGATTTAAGTCTTGTCGCTAAACCCACTGCTGGTTTCTCCATCGTCTACGAGCCCGGAAAATTGTTTCATGTAGAAAATGCATCCGTCTGCACCAAATCCTAACGTTCCAGCAAAAATGATGGTGTAGAGATATCCACTGTAAAGCGTATTCTGCAAATAGCTGTATTTGATGTACCTTCTTGAAGTGTTTCCCGTCGACTAGCCCGAACATTTTAAATAATTAATTGGCCCCCCTGGATACCCGCAAGTAAGAAATTATGCTGCACCCCTGCTGTTGGCCATCGCATTGCCCTATTTGCTAGCAAGGGCAAGATCCATTTCCACTTCTGCTTTGCGTATAGTCCTTGCCGCATTTAAGGACGGCAACCAGAGATCTCGTATAAGCTTACGAGGTCCAATTGCTTGCATACATGCAAAAAATTAAATCGAACACCATTTAAATTTCAACATGACGTGTAGGTCGTCGTGGATCACCATAGCATGACAATACAACACAACGTCCGCTAAATTTAATTTGCCAAAAACGTCTCCAGTTTTCCCGCAGTATTCATAAGATCCATATCATCCCAATTCTTATCCAGCCTAAACCATTGTATTGCGGCAGAGGATACCAGCGCATGAGAGATCAAATACGGCCTTTCGCGGCAAGGGTTCCCCGGGCACAATATACGAAGGACCTAGCGAAGTTTCTCCTTTCTTCTTAAGACGGTTGCTCTTCTTCTTCTTCTTCTTCTTCTTCTTCTTCTGCCAGCAACATTTAAAAACAATGGAAGCCGTCTTATGCTCATTTAATTTGCGTGTTGTGGTGCGCGGTATTTATTTGCATGGTTTATCCACTGGTTATGGGGAACGACATCGCTTTAGATTTGCTCGCATTCGTTTGTAAATATGGATTATTGTGGTGCCACAAATATGATGTATATACCTGTTCAATCGGGGTATTGGTAGTCACTCACTGATTTGCAAAGGTCAAAAATAGGAGGTTGTATGGTGGAGTGGTCTTCACTCATTACTTAAAAAAATTCCAACACTCCACTGGCGCACAGACGACCGATTAACAGAGGGTTCAATTCATTTCCACTTGCACTTGTTCTTTCCTCACCTTGTGTACCCGTAAGTAGGATGGGTTGCACTCTTTGAAGTGTACTAGTTTCGATACTAAACTTTTACGTTGTAGATATTGGTCCTATCCGATTGCGTGTTCCTTGATGGCCCTCTACCAGAGACGCTGCGATCGACCCTAATCGCCTTGTTCCAAAATGTAGTCCTTGAGTCGCGAGTCTTCTGACCACCTGAGCCATCTCGCGATCTTATACTTGATCCGGTAATTATACATTTGTCTGATCGCATTTGTGGAGGGTGAGAGTCCTTGCACTCCTGGACAAACAGATTGAGGAGTAATCTTCGAGCTAATGGTGCCAAATTTCATTGACGTCGGGAAGACAAATATTCTGCCTAGAAGAAGAACGACACGTGTGTGTTTGTAGTGAAATAAACTGTGTATTATGTCAACTACCCTTAAGTTAAACTTCGATTATGCGTGATTGCATACTAGGATATGCTGCAACATATCCTCTATCCTTCGATGATCACATCTTCATATGTGGTATACACCTGTCTCACGTTTTC